AGCGGCAGACGCGAAGTATCTATGAAATATCATATTGGTAAAAACTTCCACTTCCGGGGAATAATGAAAAAGCTAGAAATCAACCAAACATCATTTTTAACTGGTGTTTCAGAAAATTGTTAAAATTTTATGGGAAACCATCTATATAACACTAACTCTGTACAGTCTTATTTCTACAGCAAAGAAACTTTTCAACATTCATTCCTCTGCTTTAAACATCACAAAAAATTACCATGTTTTCAATTTTAGTGAGTCAAAAACTCCGGTGCTTCTAACAGATTAACGAACGTCAAGACTGCTTATATATATGAAAAATAACGAGATGAATGCAACCGTAACAATACACGAGGAACTCCAAACGCTTTTAATTTCAAAAAATCAACTTATAGGTTCTTTTTGAACTTAAATGGTCAAGTATCCAAAATTATTGGATTTCAGATCTTCGTATTTTAAACTCAGAAAAAAACACTAGAACGGCCGACAAAATTCAGGTCTATTTTCAAATTTTATTCTAAAAAACTTACTCAAGTTACTCATTTTATAGGCAAAATTACTAAACTCCTGATTAAAACTCTCGTTTATTTTAGTTTTTTCGTTTTCTTAGCCAGTAGGTTTGTCAATTTCTACCATCAATAGATGATTGCAACGCAATTAATTTTAAGAAACTGGACTTTTTTCCTAGTTTTGTTTTTAACTGATTTCACTCCATCAATGCGTCGACAATTTCAAAGTTTGAAAACTAAATATATATATTTCTGAAACTTAACGCTTCTGAAAAATCATTAAAATGTCATATCTTGGAAAACAAAATGCTTTAAGCAGTCATATCTGGAATCAAGATATAAAAATTTTGAGAGTAACTTGACAACACTCCAGCATTTTAGGCTAGGTTTTTTGAAAACTTTTGAAAAATAAAGTAAATGGTTTATATAGAAATGAAGATGATTTATGCAGTCTAGGTTGGAGAAAAATATGTAAACTCCAATATAGGGTTGTTGGTTATTAAAGATTCCGTAAAGCTTTTTTTAAATCGAGTTTTTTCGTATTTTTTTAAACATTGACAAAAAGTCATATCTCGGAAACCAAAAAGACTTCAGCAAACGCTTTCAGAAGAAAAATTTGCAATCTTTGAGACTAGCACAGCAGAACCTAGCTATGGGGTGATGCAATTCCAATTTTGTACAATGTTTTTATCTAAGTTTTGAAAAGTTTTAAGCAGGTGAATACAAACGTCATATCACGGAAACTAAAAGCATTTGGACAGTCATCTTCAGAGGCACGAAATGCAATCACTGAAAGTACCCTGACAACACCCAACTACAGGGTAGGGAATATTAATTTTTGTGAAACTTTTTAAAAACTTTTTGAAATTTTTTTAAAAATCAGAAAAAAACGTCATATCTCGAAAACTAAATGCATTTGAACCGTCTCATTTGAACGCAAAATTTGCAACTGCTGAGATTGTTTTCAAAGTTCCCAACTACAAGGGAGGGGATTTCAAAATATTTAATTTTTTTACATCGAATTTCCTGCATCGAATAAAATCCTTTTAGTTTTCGAGATAGTTTTTTTGAGACAAGATTCGCAACTCCTGAGATTATACTGACAGCGCCCAACTACAGGGTTTAAAATTTCATGAATTTGGAAATTTTTCAATTTCAATTTTTCTGGAAATTTGAGGCCAAAGTCTAACAGCATACCCGTATTGGGTTGCTAATTTCAAACTTGGTGAAGTAAACACACAATTGAAACTGAAAAATCTAAAAAAAAGTTCTTAACCATAGCAATATACGATATAGCTTAAACGTGAAAAAATTATTTTGTTAAACATGCAAAAAAAATACGTTTGAGGGGCTTAAATATGGTGAGATAGTCAAGCCCGCATTTAAATATAATAGATAGATTGTAAAACTAAATTATTTTTACTCATGAGAGATTGATAATCTAGTGGAAGGTTGTTTTTATGTTATATTTATTTACAGGTAAAATTCTGAAAAAAAAATCGAATTAAGGGTTGCAAGCAATTAAAATTTAGACAAAATACTTGATTATAATTTAATAAAAAACTAATTAGTTAAAGTTAACAATTTTAGTTAAACCAGTTTTTAGGAACGAAATTTTGCTATTATTGCATAATTAACAAATAAGATATTGGTCATAGAGGTTCAAATGCATTGACAGCAGCGACTGTAACTAATTTATCTGAATGATGATCATACACGCATTGAATCACTCGTCCGCCTTATTGTTATAAGTCAACCTCTTTTCCGAGTGCTAGAGAGAATCTGATCAATTTTGTGAGCAAATTCAATGAAAACCAAAATCAACAGCTAATCAATTGGTTTCAATAGGAAATAAGTTTGCACAAAAACTGGATTAAACCCTTATGTGCACTTCAGAGTCAACTACATTTTTTTTAAAAAAAGGCTTTGCATCATTCCAACGCAAATTTTGGTTTTGGTAGTCGCAAGCTACACTTCCTTTACAGAGAACTGTTTAAGCTCAAAGCTCGCCAAAAAAATCAAATTAATTACAAAGAATCGAAGCGAAGCTTCACACTACTTGCAATAAAAACACGTACATCATAGCGTGACAAAATAATCGAGGAAATAATCCGCAGATAAAACTGTTTTTTTTTATTTACCAAAAAGTTCATGCACTTGTTTTGCTTTATTATGTCTTTAAAAAAATTTCAAGAACATATGGCAAGAAAGAAGAACAATTAATGTTATTTAAGCATCAACCATAAGCATCGCAAGGGTTATAACTCGGTTAAAATCAAAATGTGGTCAAAATTTTTCTCAGCCAACTAGCAGCTTTTAGACGATTTTTATATAAGTAAAAAAATGTCTTACATTTTTTTCTCAAGAGTCAATGAAGGTAAAGATTGAATAATCAGAAGCCTGTTTTTTCTTGTAAACAATCGTTGTAATTAAATATCACGTTATTGCTGAATAGTTTCTAATAGAATTGTGGAATCGATATTGCGAAATAGCTCGAATTGTTCAATTTTCAAATCGTTGACTTTGTTGATTCGGGACATTTTTTGGCCATGTTAATTTTTACGCAATCTCAGAGGTCTCAAAAAACTATAGCGTATTGACTTAGATAGAATATCGACTGAGCATTTTTATTAAAAATTATTTTTATTAAAGACCGAAAATTGATTTAAAAAATATTTTGAAATTTTATAAAGTGACAATCTTTAGTCCGAACATTTTGTCCTACTTGCACATTTACTGGCCCTTCTTGTTTATTATTGGGTTTTACTAGAAGTATTTACATTTTTTAGGCAAAAAATTGCAGAAAACACTTGTTTTGTATTGGCACGTTTATTCAGCAAATCAAAAATTTTGCTGTGTCAAAAAATTTCAGATGGAAAAAACCGATCTTTTGATTGAACTTTGATGTTTTTTTTTGCTCCCACCATTGTATTCGGGTAATTTAGTTTTTTCAATTTTTTGTTTTCCTCGCAAAATCAGTCATCACAAATAATCATCCTAAAATGTCGAGTTAAATAGCATATTAAAGCCCATTCAGTCTTGATCCCAACGACATTTGAAATATTTGAAAAAACTTTCTCAGTGTCGAGAAAAACCCGCTTGAAATTTTTGATTTTGATCTAATTTCGAATAAGCGAGCAGGCTTTTAAAATAGGTTATTCATGCTTAATTTAAGACGTGAAAACTTAGTCGTGATTTTGAAAATAACTTACTCCATTTTGAGAATCAAACTTACAAGTTTTTTTCGAAGTTCTAAAAATATCTGCAAAAAATAAGCAACAATCTGCAACTTTTTTTGCTTTTTCTATTCAATTTTCAACAAAAAGTGCATCATAATTTGCATTTTTCATCATGACTGTCGAATAAGTTTAAGTTCATGAAAAAAATTCGTCTTTTTAAGACTATGGTCGGAAGGAACATTCTGTACAACTTGCAGTAACCGGCTATCCTTGTTATTTTGAAATTAGTGCATACTCATTCACCAAAAATAATCAACTAATGGTCAATCAGGGGTTTCTTTTTGCAAAGTTTGCTTTTTTATAATTAAACGATCAGCGAATGAAGGATTGATCAGCAAATGAAATTGAATTGAATTTTGAGAAGTCAAACCCCAAAAAAATGAATTTGAGCGTGTTAAGTTATAATATTTATTTGGTTTTTTTCATTGAATAAATTATCTATCAGAGTATATCTTGAGCCTGTCTGAGGATAGTCAGTTTCTCCTATTTTAGTTTCTCTCTTCCGCATTCTATTTAATTTATTTTTGTTGAGCGAAGTCCATTTTTTGCGAATCAAGGCCGTCTTTTTAGTCTATAAGTTTCATGCGATACGGCAATTACAGCCGCAATGTTTGAAAAAAAAAAGAGATCAAGTGAGAATCTGTATCTGACACACTATCCTTGACCAAAGTTTCAAAAAAAACTTAACAAAGAGAGCCGGCTGCATGAGCGAATGTTCCAATCATAATGATCTAAGGAAAAAATAAAAAAGATTAAAACTATCGAATTTTTCTTTTCATTTTTCACTCATTATTGTCTCATCTTCCTGATAATTTTTTTCAGTAGATGAATAATAGCTGGGAAATTAGGGAACGTCTACATTATACTTGATCAGATCAGTCTCAAATCAACTTGTTTATTTAAGACTGAAGTCCCAAAATTTTAAACCTATTTTTCTCAAAGCTGATCTAACTTTCGACAAAAATGTTAGATCTAACTTTCGACAAAAAACCCACACCACAGTTCCTTTCCCCAGGTGGTGGTCGGAACCATAACACGATAATTAGGTTTTTCAGCATTAATTTAGTGTTTCTTTTCACGCAATTCATATTAATGGTAAGGCAAAAATCCGATGAACGTTAAGCTGAAAAATTCGTTTTTCAAGTAAAACCTGTTTTCGTTATGATTTCCAGTTATGCAATAACTACGATTGTCACTGTGACATCATTGCTGAAAAAAATCATAAAAGGGGTTAATTCAATTTGAACTAAGTATAAGTTTTGACATATAAAAATATATAGCTACTGAATCAGTCAAATTCGTATATAAACATCTTTAAAATGAAATGTGCCATTGCCTTAACAGTTTTTTTTGTTTAATTTATTCTTCTAATTTGCAAACTGATATCCATATTGCGCGCAATTGAAATTGCTTTGCTGTTCGGAAAGTTGTTGTAGAAGAATTCGCTCTTTCTCCGAATGTTGGAATGCATTGTGATTCGAACTTCTATTGTCATCTTTTACATATTCCATTCCAGGACAGATTATATTAAGTTGATTTACATGAATCCCAGTTGGATTTGAACTATTCGAAGTTCTATTTTGATGGACTAAACTATCCTGACTTTGGTTTGCACTGAACCCTGGCATGTTGCTGATATCTCCTTTTGCATGCATTATACTCAATGTTTCACTGGTTACAGCTTCATTCGGATATTCATACCCAGCTCCAGTTAAGGAAGTCACGTGATACATTTTGGGGTCAACTTGGTTTGATATCAAGTTTGAATTACCTCCGCTACTTCGTTCGTCCAAATCGCTGTCTTCTCGCCTCGTGAAGTCATCTTCGTCGCTACTACTTTCGCCTTCGCATATCATCCCGTGTTCCATGTCCTCGTGTTTTTGTCCGGTCGGGTCCTCCAGACAAATTCCAGTCATTCTTTTCTCTTTCTGTCTTCGATTGCAGAACCAAACTCGCACAACTTCCTTCTCGAGTTGTAAGCTGTTTGCCAACGCCGAAATTTCATGAGCAGACGGTTTAGGTTGAATATGAAAATTATGTTCTAATGCATTCTTGATAGAAACTTCAATAGAAGTTCGCTTTTTGCGCTTTCGTCCCTGTGATGCTATTTTGTCCAATGCACTTGGATACCCGTTGTTATTTTCAGCTTCGTCCAACCATTTGGTCAGCAATGGCTTTAGCTTGCACATGTTCTTGAAACTCAACTGCAAAGCTTCGAATCTGCAAATTGTAGTCTGACTGAAAACATTTCCATATAAGGTGCCCAAAGCTAGTCCAACGTCCGCCTGTGTGAATCCCAATTTGATGCGGCGTTGTTTGAACTGTTTTGCAAATTGCTCCAAATCGTCGTTAGACGGCGTTTCTTCACACTCTCGCTCCATGCAGTCCAAAAGTGCAGACTCCTCGAGTGTTCTCCCGTAGAGCAGGGATTGGTTGGCATGGACAGCAGCAGCTGCCGCATAGTAGCTGTGTATATTGGGAGTAGTCGAGAGCGGATATGGTGGGACGGCAACATTCGAGGGTGGTGATTCCAGTCTGGAGGGAGTCATATACCCGTTAAATGGATGCATTCCGGCGGCTGCAAGATGAGACCAAGTATTAGAGTTGCTCAATGCGTGGTTGATTGCCGCCGGAGACTGCGCTCCGTAGATTCCTGAAGCTGCGCTGTTTCCGTTTGGGAAAAAGGAGCCGCCTTGTATCAAGCACTGAGGGCTGCTTTGATACGGGAATGTCGTTCCATTCCAGGACAAATTACTTTCAGGCGAAATCAACCAACCGGCTGCCTGATGACTTGCGGCCTGCGGCGGGGTCAAACAAGTTGAGTAGGGAACTCCGGGGGTCATAGTCAGTGACTCCTGTTTGAACGCCCCGTAAGGCGAAGTGTTACTGCTATTTAGTGCAGAACCATGGTGCAAAGGGTGAATTGATGATGCAACATTTGGTGTGGTAGCTGAAACTGCTGAACATTGCATTGCCGATGAGTGCTGCATGATAGGCGACATATTTGCCGAGAGATAAGAGGAGTATTCGGGAGCCGAAGTCGGAATTCCGAAAGTAGCGGCCGCAATAGATTCACCAAAAGCATTCACTCCGATACCTGATGCAGCTGTGTTTGTAGAAGGTACGCAATTAGGCGAACATTGTTGGATCGGTTGAACTAGACCTGATGCTACGATATTGCTATCGTGAATTGAGGATGTAATTACCATCTTTACGAATTTTTTTTTCAAAAAAAAAACAAACTTTCACCGGATTTTTTAAGATTTTTTGTGAAATTAGCCCAACAGCGGGTGATTGAAAAGATGTAAAAATAAAGCAGCAGGCGGTGAAATAAGTCTAGCTTCTTTTTATTTGCAAAGTGTCAACAAAATGAAAAAGTTGCTCGGTGATAGGACGGCAATGATTGCCTCTCAATCTGATTGGCTAAGAGGATGCCAGAGGCAAAATGAAAAGGAGCAGAACTATTTTCCAATGAAAAAGCCTCTGAATGATGAAATTTGAGAAAGTAGCTAATAGCACCCGCTAAAGGCACAAGTGTGCAATTAAATTAGCATAGAACACCTATCAGCTTCGAATATACTTTGCTGCCTCAACATTTCCAATGGGAACCATGATAAAACTTCACAGAAAAAGATCACACATCGTTGAAAGTCCAAAGTTAAATTTCGAAGTATCTGATTCAAAAATCCAAATTAAAAGTTCTTTGTATTAACTATTTATTTACATTCAATTTGATGATGTTACCTAACTGAATATGTACAAGTTAAGAATATAGCCACTTTTTAAACTAACCCACAACTAATAGTGTGATAACTAAAACTGCATTGAATTTACAGCAAATTCATGATTTTTCACAAACCCCGTACCATTTAATTAGCTTGATCATTTAGCACAGCAACCTTATTTAGCATAGAAATTTATTTCTTGGCACAATTGTAGCGCTAAAATTGCAGCAAAAATCCATCGCCCGTTCGAAAGCAAAGCCAGGCTATCTAAAAAGACAAAAGTTGAGTCCGTATTTAATCGGTGATTGTCGGTATGTAAAATGAGTCAAATGTGTCACAATTCAGTTCCGTTTATAAGCTCGTTTAGTTGCGTTGGTTCCTTTCCATCATTCAACATTGATCGCTCAATTTACTTAACAGTTCGTTTTTGTGATTTACTGCCGTGTGCATGTCTCTTGCTCGTTCTCAGTTGCTTTCTAGACAGTCGAGGCTGATATCCGCTCTTGGTGATTTTGGCCGCATAAGGGTCCTGGAAGTCTGCCAGGACACCAAGCTCTACAGTTTGGTTGCGTTCAAGTTCTCCTCTTTCGGCCTCGTATCCCCTTCGCTGGAAGGGATGATTAGCCGGATCTGCATCACCACCTCTTTTCATCACTGCCCCTTTGTCTGAAAGAAGTCAAGTGAAGGGTTTCTTTTTTTAACTAAGACAAAAAAATTTAACGACTTTAAGGGCGTGTACAACTTCATTATGGTACAATTCGTTTTTTTTTTCGATTTAACAGCATTCTTCAAATTTTGCTCCCATTTTTAAGCAAATCCTCTTTTTAGCGGGGAATATAAATTCAACATAGAGGCCGAGCCAAGCTGTTCACTACTTGCGATTCATTACAAACATAGCATTCATAGCACCCTAGCAGACAGAATCAAAACGAAAGTATCAGAATCAAAACGAAAGAGTGACGTGACTTGAAAGATTACTGAAGTTTAATAACTGAAGCTTAATTTAATTCTGCAAAGAACTAACTAATTCTTACACATTTATAAGAAAAATTGTTTAATGGAAAAAAGATGTGTAATAGTGCAAAACCTTAATACTGAGGGTTTTTTCTTTTCGATGAAACATAATGATGAGCACTGATGATAATTTTGTTCCGACCACTCTCAAAGACTGCAAAAAACTATGCATTAGAGTCCATTTTAATTTTTTCCCGGCCAATTTTGACTACCTCAAGGAAAGCTCGTAAGGGGCCAAAAAAGGTATCATACTGAAGCCCTAATGGTCGTGATTCGTCAATGTCAGAAAATTCTATTTTTCAGACAAATTAGATGAAAATTTGACAGAAAATCTTGCACAACAATATTGAAAAAAAATGGTCGGAACATTGTGTGCTACTTTTTTTTGTTGTGACATACCGATTGTCTCTCCAATAAGACTGTTGGTCTTTTTGTCATACTCGAACTGTTCCTGGATCGCTTCCTTTTCCAGACTCTCCTCCTTCTTCAGTTTGGCCAAATTCGGACTGCTCTTGCTTGGGTTCACGTGTCTCGTCTTCGTCCCGTACAGCACCAGCTCTACGTGTTTCACTTCCGCTTTGAACTTATCCGCTGGAATGCGATCCGGCCGCAATGACTCGTCATAAGCGAACTTAACCTTCCACTTTCCATCTGTTGGCTCGCCTGAAATTACACACCCAATTACAGTCAATTAGCTTTATGAACCTACATTTTTTTATTGCTTTTACTTTCAGTTTCAAAATTAGCCACTATGGACTCTTGTAAATATCATGATTTTTGGGAAAAAATCATAATTTTTCATTTCCATCCCCTCCAGCAAAACATTTTTCGGCGCAAAAGTTATCACATGGTCCGTCCATGAAAAAAAAAACGTATAGATTGACCGTTGCAATTAAACATTTGAATGCGGATGAAATTACACCCCAATAGTACGAAATTATTTATTCAGCTTAGAGTTACTCTTCTCTTATAACTCGGCGAGGCTGTGAACGCCAACCTTACACGTCTAATTTGACACCTTATTTTTATGTGTTTTTTTCAAGTTCAAGTAGTAAATATAACAATTTTAAAGTGACATGTGATTTCCTGCAGTGAAATTATAACAGGAACAATCGATGTTTGATTTCAAACATTTCTGAGAGGACAGGGAACGCTTATGGATCATAATGCGGAAGAGATATCTTTTTTATCTTGGGCTATCTCTTGTTTATTTACGAGGGAAGCAGTTCCGAGATAAACTTTTGCGACTTACGAAGCCACATAACTAGTTGTTTTGCCAACATAAATCCATGAAAAATTGATTACTAGTGAGAGCATATTTTGAGATTTCCTTTCCGAAAAACCATAAAGTGAGATGTCATCTTCCAATATATTGATACATGTAACTTATATGGGTTATCATAACGTATGCTGACATTTGGATTAGCGGCACTAGACTTTTTGTCGACATAAAAATAAATCGGAAAAGGTGAGCTGCTGCAGTTGTAGTAGTAGCATAGGTCAGGAGGCAGTATGCAGTGAAGGGGACGGGATGTGTTTATTGAGACTTTGGGGTCTAGTTGAGGAGTTAAATGTGTTTAGGGGTGATTTGATTTTGGTGATAACGAGTATTGATTTTGAACGGCTGTATGAACAAAAGTTAGCGTCATTTATGGAATCAGCTCTCAGATAAAATCAACAAGGCCACACAAAACACTCGAGGCCTTATTGACACCCAGCGAACAGCACTCTTTGTACACAATACACAACTTGGAGAGCCCTCACACAATAGCCATTCTTTTATCTCTATAAAATTAGGGATAAGGCTGATTTTGACTTACTTAGCCCGACTAAGTAACTTTGACCGTTCTAATTGAAAAAGATACCATCATTTCAGTAACTATAACAAGGGTGCACTTAAATACTATCTTCAGACACTTACAAAACATGACAGCATGCGTGAAAATAATTATTGCACACTCGCCTTATGCTCCACTTGTAATAGCTAAGGTGACAACGCCTTCAAATAACCCCGCCCTCAAAAACCCATCTTGTCTCTTTTCATGGCGTTGAAAAATATCTAACTTTTGCTTTGATACTAACCCCAAACTTTCATTTTTGGTTCAACTTTGGTTTTGGATTATAAAACCGCATTTCTTATTTTCAAACTTACGGTTTCGTTTTAAGAGTCAAACTCGGTTTCTTACTGAAACGGACAAACAAGCAGTATTACAGGGTTTTCCTTGTGCACTTTTGCCAATAATACTCTTTGAAAAAAGCTCACTATTTCTTCACCAGGGAAAGTAATAACGTAAAAGCTGTTAAGCTCCTTGCGTAGAGCCGCTGCTGTGCCCGTTAAACAACTAGCACATGCATTTTGATAATTTTTTTTCTGGGCTGAGAATTTTTTCTTCACTGACAGGCAAGCGACTGCTAAGCTAAGACTTTTCGATTGAGAAGCGTAGACATTAGCCACTTTCCGACCGCATACTTAACTAAAACTGCTGAGATTATATTATTATATATATAATACAGTTTTATATAGCTGTATTGCTCTCCCACCCTATGTACACATGACTTATAGACAGACTAACCCCAATGCAAGAATGACACAAATGGCCATGTCTTCAGTTCCTCCGTCGAATTGTCCTTCGGTCTGGGTCTCATCAATATACTTGTGTATCCCTTCGGACTTTTGATCTCCATCTGCACACTGCCTCTGTAAGATGACACGTAAGTGGCCACTACTAGTACATGCTCCACAAAGTTCACTTTGCCCTTGCAATTATTCCCGTCGAAGGTGAAAGTCAGGGCCTTGTCCGCTTCCAAACTCATCATTTTCCTATGAAAAAAAACGAGCAATTTTGATTCAAAATTAAAACTTTTTTTCCAAAAATTATGATTTATCACAATGAAAATGTTGGTTACGCATATTTATTGTGTTAAACATTTTTTGAAGGTCGTTTACGAATATGTAAAAGTCAAGTTGAAAAAATATGTCGATATAGAATCTCCAATGCTTCGCTTTTTTACTGATCATTTTGCTGCCAATCTAACTCACATTAATCTTTTACACTTTCATTCTGGACTTTTGTTTCAGTTCAGAATGAAAGTGTAAAAGACTTTTGTAACACTTTTGTTTCAGTTCAGATCAATTAAAATATCAGCAGGTTCTAAAGAGTAATATAGGTCACAATCATTCATAGATCGTCCTTTCCAAAATCGATGAGGCGGATTTGACGCAAGTGTCAATTTCAACTACTCATAGGAGCGATTGAACAGCAATGCTCATCTCTGCTCGTACTTGGCTGCCTATACATACAAGTGCGTCCGAAGGGTGACGGGGTAGGATTGAGGGGGGATTAGGGGGCAATTCCAAATCTGATCCCTTTAATACCCGCCAAGACCCCCACAAACTGTCCATCAATATAATTTAACTCACATAGCACATGTGCTACTATACACATACACATATACCATATATTGTACATGTTGAAACAAAACAGTAGCGGTACCTTCACGCTTAAGATTCGCGACGTATAAAAATTCCTGAATTCGACTTAAGGATATTTTAATTGTAGTATCTGCATGCCGCCTAACTGGCGAATGACGGGCGATCTATACAACAATACCTTTGCAAGTCATGGCCAGTTAAATCAGATTTTATTGCACTAATGCCTATATGTGCCAGCAGAGCAACAGAGTGTAGTAATAAGGAGAAAAGGGAAAGGAGACTAAACTTTCATTAAATACTCCAATTCCCAAAAGTGTGCACAGACCCCGGCCTCGCAAATCTCCCCAAATCTCATCCGCTATTCTCAAAAAGTTTGAACTTGGGAATTGTTCCAAGTACAATATACATGCTTTCAAAATTCTGCGTCATGAAAATTTTCAAATTTAATTTTTTTCGCTTTTAGTGAGCCACAATAGATAACCAAATAGACCGATATGACCAATATTTATGAGGATACAAATAAGACCTGCTAATAAACCTTGCTAAGTCATTAAATTTATATCGTGTAAAACCCCTAGCAAAATCCTTTTCGGTCAACTGCTTAATTTGAAATCGAAACCATTTTTTACGTTATTTTGCACGTAAAAAGAGCAAAAAATACGCTATAATTAAACAAACTGTGGTGGTTCTGATCTTGCAAACAAGCATGCATTGACTATTTTAAAAACTGTTTCAAACTGACCAAGTATTATTGGCGTTGATGCCGACACTGCACTGTTTTCTCTTAGGCACTATGGTCCAGTTCCTGGCAGCCAGAATCATTTTGGCCGCATTCATAACCCCGAAACCGAAGTCGTGACTCACCGTCCTTCCGTCGCCGTTGAACTCCCACGCACCCCCATCTCGGGAGACGTCGGCGTCTTTGGGGTTCGGCTGGTCGCATGTCTCTACTATGATATGTTGTACATCTCTCCATCCCAACTTCGGACTGAAAATACATCGAGGCAATTAACATTAACCATATCATTTAATACTAAAAGAAAAGCCAAACATATTACTGTGATTTAGGTTTACTGTCAGACTATCTTTTCCAGCACACGATCCGTACTGTTCATTAATTTGAGTCGCAGTTTATCTATTTGTGTCAATATACGCCTTATTCATTGGGTTTTTTCTTGGCTCCGAAATGTTGTTGAATTCTCCAGCAATCATAGCCAACATACGGTTGGAAAAGAGTCAATGAACGCAATTAAGCAGAAAAAAATACTGACTTGTTTTTGTAAACATTCGAGTTTCAAAAAAAAAAATAGATGCCCTCAAAGCTCTTTGAATTTCCAGAACAACATTATTTGCACTTTTCTGATAAAATTAACCCGATTTGAGTAACCTGGATCAATATGTAAATTTATATTTCGCTGGGAATTCGAAAAATTAAATTCCACTTTCGAAAATAGAAGTCGATCACGTTTTTCGTGACCTTTACACTTTTGCTGTTCGATAACAAAGGAAATCAAAGTCGAACAGCGAAAAATTAAATTTGAGCCTCAAAAAAGTCTTTTCCTGGAAAAAAATCATCGCGACCTATATAAGAGTCTGATCTACGTTTATCGACTCTTAACAAGGCTATAAACCCTAAATAACTAATTTGCTCCGAGACAATTTGCGGACAAGGCCAAATCTCAGTAAATCGCATAATTGAGAAAAACTATCGCGTCCTAGTCATAAATTGACTCTCATATTCCGGAAATTTTCTAGCATAAAATGTCTTCGAGCTTTAACAGTTCTATAAAAAAACTTGCTTCATATTTTACTCTCCATATTCGAACGTCCGACGTGAGAGTAAGCAAGAAATCGTTGCTTTTAATGTTCATTTTGACAAAGGCTAATTTTCTCACATAAATTTTGAGACCTTTTCCGAATACAATCCATTAACAAATCCCTCTAATTGTTTTCCTTGTTTTTCAAAGCAGTTAGTCTTGTTGTTTGTGAAGTATACTTTCGTCTTGTTCCACGATTAGTCCTGCTAATCCTATCCGGTTAAAATTTACCTGTATATAATTGTAGCAAGGGAGTTAAAAGTGCTAATTGATTTTGAACAATATTTGAGGGAGGGCTAAATAGAGCGATCGAAATGCGAATAATTAATGTCTGGAAATACTTCAACTGCATCGAAAAACTTTCCTTCTTTCTCACTGCTTTGCAATACAGACAACGGGAAGTAAGATCTTGAAGTAACGGTCAGAACTTGACAGGTCACGCGTGTAAATTGACTTTCCAGGAGTGCCTCAGAAATAAATAGAGCGTGAGTGAGTTTAAGATGGTGTCGCTGATGTCTTAAGTACGATAAGTTCGTAGGTTGGCAATAATTCAATCGAACTTTCTTATTTTATTCTTTTTATAGCGACTTCTATATTCTATCTTTAATTTAGTCCTAATATCAATTCATCTTCTCCGAAAAAAAATAGCATAACCAACAGATGGTTGGAAAAGAGAACAAGGAAACCGAAAACATATTGATCGATTTTTTTCTTTTTTCAGCTTCCGAAGTTCGAAGAAAATAGCCAACAGACGATTTGAAAAGAGTCAATGAACGCAAAAAAAAAGAAAAAAAATTTTAAAAATTCACTTTCGAATTTCGCAAAAATATATAGGGATTTTAAGCATTCTGAATTTGTTTGACAATTTTGATAAAATTAGCCAAATTTGAGAAAACTGGATCAATATGTACATTTTTATTCCATTGTGAAAATTGAAATCCACTTTGGAATTAAAAATCAGTCGTTTCTCGCGACCTTTACACTTTTACTGTTCGATAGTGGAAAACGCCTTCCTTTCAACAAAAAAGGGAAAAATCCTATAAAAAAAATAGAAAATTATCACTATCTATATCCGAGTGTTCACTATGCTCATCGACTCATCACAGTTAAAGCAGTTTGAATTTTAAGAAATGTTTTTAACTGGAACTTTTATATTTTGAGAACACTGGATCAACTGAAAGGTTTCCTATTCCGCTGGAAATTGAAAACATAGCCAATCGAAGATTGGAAAAGAGTAATGAACCCAAGTATATATTTTAAAAAAAAAAACACTGAAAAAATCTTAACTCGCGAACTTCAAAGAAAAAAAATTGATGCCCTTTAAACTCTTTGAATTTCTAGAATGATTTATGATTGGTGCTTTTTTGATAGCAATAACCCAAATTGAGAACACTGGATCAACAGGTAAAGTTCTTATTCCGCTGGAAATCAAAAAACAAATTCCACTTTCGAAACTAGAAATCGTTCACGTTTTTTCGCGCCATTTCCACAATCGTATTTGGAGAGTACTGTTTACGTCACTTTCAGCAGATAAATTTCAAAAGGCATTATACCTAAGTGCATCAATATTTAAAGACTTTCTCCTAAAAAAAATCAGCAAGACCTATATAAGAGTCTTGACTACGTTCACTAATCTTAAAATTTTCGTTTTTGTAACTTGTCCCTTTATAAAACTAGCAGTAATTCGAGTTTTTAGTGATACTTACCTTATTGCAGTTCGATTATGGAGTTAGGCTTCAATTAGAGAAAAAGAAATCAACAGTCAAATCCCGAGAAACCAAATTTTGAGCGTAAACAAATTTTGACTTTTCCTGAACAAAAAACATTGAATGCCCAAAAAACTCTTTGAATTTCTGAAAGCTTTTATGAGTGTCAGTTTTTTGATAAAATAAACCCAATTTGAAAAAACAATCAATAAGTAAAATTTTTATTCCGCTGGGATATCTGATAATAAAATTCCACTTTACAATCTCTAAATTAGAAATCGATTCCGTTTTTCGTGACCTTTATACTTTTGCTGTTCGATAGTAGAGTTTGCCTTCTTTATAACCAAAGAAATCAACTAACGTTAAAAAAAAACAAAAGTCAAACAGCGAACAAGTAAACTTGAGTCTGAATAAATTCTTAGACTTTTCCTGAAAAAACCAAAAAAAAACATCACAACCTATGTAGAAGTCTGAACTTCGTATTTTACACTTTATCATATCTTTGATGAGCTATTATTTCTGAGCTAAAAATAACTTATTACTTGCGGTTTTAAGAGAGACATTTAATACAAAACATTGCGAAGAATGCTTGAAAGACTTTTCCTTATTGAACATTTTCTTGAAAATAAAACGCTCCTCCTTGTTAAAGTCTTGATCAACATCTATTGCGTGGTTAGGGGTATTTCTTACTTAGACTGGAGCAGGAGTGCTATCATGCCAGCTCCGAGGGGTCCAGCAGCCGAAGTACCACTGAAGTACTCGTCACAGTTCTCACTCGCAGTCGGATCCTCCTTATTGAACATTATCGAAGTGGTCACCTGCGGTAATAACACAAAAGACTAAGAAAAACGACATATTTGAAATATAAAGATTGTTCACACCCACATGCAGAACATTCTACGGAAAACAAGGAACATTCATTTCAGATGACTCAACTAACATTATGATCCCAAATCAGACAGACAAATTTGCATCGCTTTTTGAGCTCAGACTCTTGGTTCGACTTTTCAACTACAGTAAATGAGTATTGGATGACTAATGGATGCCCAAAATTACAGCAAACATTACCGATATTTCTAACTTTGTGAAGGTCAAATAGGCAGCAAAACTTTTACATTATCAATGTTTAAAGCATGTTACTATCTATTTCTATGTTTAACATTTTTGCGCAACTTTAACCACAGTTACACGTTTTTACGAGTTGTTTTCCTTTTCGAATACTAATTAAGTTCTTCTACTTTTGATGATTTGCATTGAAAATTGGAATGTAGTTTACTTAAGCCGAAAAAACTGTAGCCGCAATTTTGAGCATGAAAACGATTTCGAGTATGAAACTGAAAATGAGTTTTTTAAACTTTTGGCCTATATTGACCAGCAGTTTTTAAGAGCTAGTTAACATTTTAAAAGTAACATGAAACGAAGCAATTTAGCCTCAGTCTTGAATGAACGAAGACCAGATGACGTAAAACATGAATACATCAGCAAACAATTTGAACAGAAGGTCCGATGAAAGTTCATGTATTCTCAAACAAGAAAAAAATTGAAAATAATGAAATTTCATTCTTTGTTAGAAGCCTCCTGCTATAAACACAAGATATAATTCAATAGCAAGGATTATTTTTTCTCTCAAATCCATGCGTTCAAGCAAGGAGATTAATTGCGGAATAAGAACCATCGCCAAAACATGCATGTGGCGCTCACGCTACTAGTTGTAAAATCTAAATTGAATGTTTACTTTATATCTCTAAAAATGAGAAAGTTCATTTATATTAGTTACCTCTGGTCATTCAAGACCTATGAAGGTACAAATCGCTAAAAACAACAAGGTACAAATTTCAATCACCGGTATAAAAAGAACGCGTCCCAAATTTTCGAGCATACATGAGTGATACTATTGGTACAAAAAATCGATCAAGTCACATTACTTATTTTTTTTCTAGTAAGATTCAAATTGAGTGACGCTTTGGCTTGTTCCAGCTGTAATCACCAGAGACCAAGTCAATTACAAATACTCATACTCACCATTGGGAAACTTTTCTCGTGTTTTTCTCCTTCCAACAGTCCAGCCATTTGGTCCCTACTCACTCCCCCAGTGTATACTGCAGCTAATGTACTAGGACATGACTCCTGAAAGTATGCAGGCCTCCCCTCGTGAGTGAGAGCCCCGATTGAGACTGTGAAGGGGGAGGAAACTAGACTGTCTGCACTACAACAGTCGCCCACTGCTCCGCCGTTACCAGAAGCCCACACGTAGATACTACCCAGGCCGCCACGACCCTGCAACAAAATTCAGTTAGAAAAAAACTTAGGAAACTGTACATTGAACAATTTATGTACATTATGCACAACACATTTTATTGTTCCGACTTTCGATACGAAAGTGACGGAATATTTGTGCTCGGGGTGGGTTTTTTTTTCTTCAGACAAATTTCGACTTTTTAACTAGCCATTTTTGACGGAATTTTTAAAATATCATTCGAAAACTATTGTTGTCCTGAGCTTAAATTTGAAATGATATTCTACCTGTGATCATTTTTCGTAAAGTTATGGGGGTTTAAAGATTTCCATTTTGGCCAATTTGGGACAATTAACGCGCGATATATTTCGCGCTATTAACGAGTAAGCGGAGATTTAATCCGTCTTAGAAATCGCTGCAAATTGGTTGAAAGAAGCTTATTTACCATAATTGATTTGTTACAAGGAGCAAAATCTGCTGTTTTGTACTTTATATGGCGCGTGGGGGGATGATTTTCATAGAAAAAAAATCAAATTTTAGAAAAAAAAATTTCGTTTTATTTTTTTTTTGTTGTTTATGATATTACTGATCCATAAACCTTGAAGGCAGTCGGAACATTCCGGGCTTCGCCCTGATACGAGCAGTCTTGTTTATTTTTTAGAAAATTTTTCTTTCCTGGGAAGTGCCAAATACAGCTTTCAAAACCAGTTTCCGTTTTTAGCCTAAATGACGGATTCAACAAGAAATGCTCATTTAATTCACTCGAAATTTGACGAAAAACCAAAAATTTCCATTCGGTTGTTGGGAAAATTTTAAATGGATTTTTTTTGAAATTTTTTTAATGTGCTTCGAATCACGACTGAAAGGGCTTTAATATGATATATCACTCAACCCACTCCGATGATTATTTGCGGCACCTGATTTTGGATGGAAAACAAAAAAAAAATAAAAAGAAAAAACAAACACATCCGAATACAAAGTTCCACCCCCTTTTCAACGGTCGGAACACAATAACATAGACTAACAATTTATTTCTTTTCTCACGTATTTTTCACAAAAATTCAGGAGCCAAAAATAAATATCGTCAGGGATTTTAGGTTATATAAAAAAAGCCCCGTAGGTCGTAATTTGAATTTTTGTCCAGCTTTGAGTGAGCTATTCGGCCTTTTAATAGGCATATAATATTTTATTAGTTACGCAGTTAAAATCTAATTTTCCTCTGGTTTTTTAACGCCTTCAAAAAAATTTTTTAATCAAAAAAGTTTTCTGCAAAAAATATAATCAAATTAATTTGATTTTTTTTTAAATATTGTTCTATTCATTTTTTCGAGGGAAAATATTGTCGAATAATTTAGTATTACTACCAAATATGGCTAAGTTCCAGGCCTTTCTTTAGATCCTCTCGTCACAGCACGACATACAAAAAACGACACCATTTGAAAAAACTGCTTTTTTAAGATTTTTATTTTGGTGGTCGGAACTTTCCTACATTGATGCTATATCAACCTATATATTTGTTTATACCGAACTGAAATTAGATACAAAAACTGCAGTTCTGAATCATCAAAATTGGCTATAGAAAATGTTCAGAAATCATTCTAAATCTTTTTTTTTCAAATGCTGTCCTCTATATCATTTCATTGGATGGTGTTGTTATTTGAATTTGCGGATTCACAATTTGGAACAAAATAGATCATAACAAAGAAAGAAGGAGAAGGAGAAGAAGAGATCTAATCTAGTGTGTGACATCAGACAGCAAAGAGGGCACCGGTACAAGTACTTCTCATCCACTTGGGTTTATCTGGACTGGATGGAAAGTGATAGGACACAGAGAGCAGGTAGGGACGGGACGGGGGATTAAAAGGGAAGCCGGTGTTAATTAGAATTTTTATCGCCAATATTTTCCAACACGAGCTGTAATAAACTTAGAGATAACGACTGGATCAGCACATCAGTCGCCAATTGAGAAGAGAGAAAAAAGCGCCACAAAAACAACAACAGAACAGAACGAACACACGCAACGCTGAAAAATATATACAATACACTTTTGATGAACATCTTTCTCTACTCTTAGCTCTGATGAACAATTTTTACTATTAAAATACGAATTTGCTTGTCCGAATAAATTTGACTCGGAAGCGGTAGTCTCAAACAATTTTTCGTCGACTTCATTATTTGGGAACAAAACAAACTTGTCGAACATAATTTGTCGCTAATTGAAGAATTATTGATAAAATTTAGCAAAATAACTTCAAAATTGATTGAATTTGTTTCAGATATGTGTACTAAAGCACCCCGAGACTTCTAAGATCAAAAGAAGAAACGTAAAAATTGATTTCAAAGAAAACAATAAATAAAAAATGAAGAAATTATATCTCATTGAAAATCATTAATTTGATACCTATCATCACTTGTTTTCCGTCTATCATTGATTGGACTCTTTAATTAGGAATTTGATCAATTGCTGAGGACGCATGAAATTCGATACATGCGCAGTTGTTTTATAAATTCAACAAAACAAAAAATCTGAAAAAGTGATTTTTAACGTCATGTTTTGCTTTCATGGCGCATATGAATTAATTGGAATTGGAAAAACTGAATCTTGGTTCCAAAATTCTTCAAAATTGGAGGAGCCGCAGCAAAAAAAGTCCCCGTCTATTGCCTTCACAAAATGATATGAGCAAAAATCAATGCATCTGAAAAATAAACACAAAAAAATCCACTCCTGAACACCTTGATTAAAATATTAGCATCTCCAAATAAATGAACAGATGGAAACATTGCTCACTAATTATTTCGATGCCTAGATGCGCATAACATGCACCTGAAACCTAATCATTCAGAGAAAAGCAAGGAAAAAATTTAATATCTACTGCACATCTTAGAACCCCCTATATTGACAATGATTGCTTCGAACCTCTTATTCATCTGCTTATCTCAACTGGAGCTTTGGTGCTTGGCGCGGTGCCGGTGCTCAGTTCACTTGGGGAGTGGTGAAGAGGCAATTAGGGCGATAAAAGCGGGCGTGAAATTGGATTTGGGCTATTTGACAGAGTGGTGAAAAGTGTGTCTATTAGTGTCTTCAAATGAGCCCCTCTCCCCAATTAGCCCCACTTGTTCCTGTGTCGCAATGCGCTCAACAAGAGTCTAAATATTATCTCGGAGACGGAAATTAAATAAATAAAGTTGCTCCAATTCTAGACTTCAGGAAACACTTTCAACATTTTACCTTTCTTTTCATCTTCACTGAACAAGTCACCGTGCATTTAACAGAAAAAAAAATCAATTCGTTCTAAAAAAAAAACTTTTTCAATATTTTTTACTAGCATTTATCTTTTTTTTCTGCTTAAAAGTAAGAAAAAGAAACATTTTTTAAACGATAGGAAATCGGCTATGCGCTGTATCGGCTAGTAAGTGTAAGACTCAGTGGATCTTGAACTTGTAACACTAACTTACAACTGTATCTATTTTGTCTAAATAAGTTAATTTTTATCTCTCAGTCCGCCAAGACCCAAAAGCAATGCAATTTGGGCCCATTCAAATTCAATTAGCAACCCATTCCCTGCTAGTGCTAATCCATAACTAACACTTTTCATAATCAATGAACACTTTCTTCCCTCAACAAATTCCGACACACTTTTGCAAATCCATGAGAAAGGGATCCAAAATTTTTGTAATCGGTTTGCAAAAGGGATTGAGCTAATTGCCAATTCAAATCTCAGCAAAAATTTCAACAAAAATATTCAAATCTTTTTTCCTAACCATTAGTGTAATTAGAGTGGTAGCAAAAATTGTGCAAAGTATGTTGTTTGGGGAAAAATGGGCACTATAAATGTTACACTTGGAAGCGAAAATTATTTATAGCACTAGACAAAAACAGTTTGGGAAAAGATATCAATAAAGATAATATATTCGAGAAGAATTGCTATCAAAGGAGTTTAGCGGAAGGAAAATGGATTTGGGCACACTTTTTAATAGGCCATTGAGGCGAGAAGTTAGTCTTGTTTTGGGCTATAAACAGAGTCATTAGGAGAGCAACTGACAGAAAATTTATAGGGCAACGGGGATAAAAAGGGCCACATAGCATCCATACTACATCTCTCAGTGGGGTATTTAATGGTGTGAAAAAGTCAACTAACATAATTCCAGCGGAGCCATTAACTCAAAGACATCTATTAACTTCAGAGCTACAAACACCAACCAAACTATTTATACTTCCAGACTTCTAACTGTACATCTCGCATAAATCAAGATTTCAATCCAGTCGCAAAAGACAGGAGAAACCTAACTTGATCAATGCACACCAGACACAGACACGCGAATTCGATTATCCGACCTCAATTCCTAGCCTTATATTCTCAGTTGTTACTGCGGCGAAACCATTATTATAACTCATATGGCACAAAAAATACCATGTTCTACGAGAGTATTGTGTTAGTTCAAGACACTGTTTTTGTCATATGAAAATGTCAATAAAAATGTTAATTTGCCAATAATCAGTTAATTCAAGCGCAACGAAAAACTTTCCCAAAAAGTACGGCATTTTTGACGGTCTAATTTTTTTTAAATTTTGTATTGTAAATTTATTTGAAAATTCGACTTCCCATTAAAAAACACTGGATCCACCAATGAACATTTTTGAATTGAAAAAAAAACATACAAATCAAAGAAACGCAAAAGATAGTTTTAAAAATTGCGACAAAAAATCAGAAATCAAACTTCATTAACATGAGCAATGAATGCAAAGAAACGTAAAAAAGCTGACTTCTTTTTTTAAAAAAAAAATCGCATCGTCGATTTTCGAAGAAAACAATAGATGGCCTCTTTGAAAATCGAGAACAATTTATAATCGACAATTTTTTCATGAAATTCACCCAATTTGAGAAAACTGGATCAATAGCTAAAGACTTTATTTCGCTGCGAAATCTGATAATTTAATTACACTGTCAAAAATAGAAGTCGATCAAATTTTTCATGGCCCTTACACTTTTGCTGTTCGATAGAGGACTTTGCCTTCCTTTTAAAAATGGAAATGCACTGA